CATTCCTTCCTCCCCCACCATGCCTCCCCTCCTGGGGTCCTCACAGGCCCAGGCTATGTGGGATTACCCATTCCACTCACACATCCCTCTTTCTCTCTCTTTCTTTTCCCAGAACCTGCTCTTCAGCGTCTGCGGACTTACCGTTTGTGCCACCATAATCTGTACTGTCTCAGCTATTGTCTGCTGCATCCAAATATTTTCCCTTGACCTCATGCACACGGTGAGGGGGGAGCTGGGGTCAAGGCCAAGCAGATGGAATGGAGGGGTGGCAGGGGTGTATGTGCTGGGCCTGGGGTTGAGGGGGTGGTGACTACAGTGATTGCTCTGAGCACCAGGGGCTGTAGATCACCCGTTAGGAATGTCTATTATTGTAGGGATGTTAAGGGGGTTCGAGGGGGGTGGTGGTGAGGAGAGGAATGACAGGGAGTAAGAAAGTATGTGATGCCAGTCGGGGGCCAGGAGGGGGGCATTAAAGAGTGGGGCTAGAAGTTGGGTGGGGTCAAGAAGGGCCTAGGTGGGGGTGGGGATGAAGAGTTGATGTTCTGGTGAGGACAGAGCAGGTGGTAACTCTGGATGGAGGTGGGGTCATAAAGAGGAGGAATTGTTTTTGATGGGCAGGGCCAGAGCTGGAGGTCCTGGGTGGAGGCAGGGTTAGAGGAGGGGCCAAGCTGAGCAGCTTTGAGGGCGGGGCCAGAAAATGCAGATGAGGCGGGGAGTTTGGGAGCCGAATAACCAGAAACCTGGGTGATTGCTTGCTCCCCAGCAGCTGACTCCTGAGCGCTCCGTCTCAGGTCCCCTGGGGCCTCTGGGCTGTACCTCCTCGCCCCCGGCCCCGCTCCTGCACACCATGTTGGACTTGGAGGAATTTGTACCGCCTGTGCCCCCACCTCCCTACTACCCCCCAGAGTACACCTGCAGCTCAGAAACAGATGCACAGAGGTGAGGCCTGGCGGACCCCTGCTGGGGAGACGAAGGCAGGGGAAGGGGGCTTCGGCTGCAGCCCTGATTGGTGGGGAGGGTCTTTGGGGAATAGTTCTTCTCCAGGCTCTGACCCTCTCTCTCCCTCTTCCCACCAGCATCACCTATAATGGCTCCATGGACAGCCCAGTGCCCTTGTACCCTACTGATTGCCCCCCTTCTTATGAGGCCGTCATGGGGCTACGGGGAGACAGCCAGGTGAGAGCAAGGCTTGGTGGGGGCCAGGGAGCCAGGGCTAGAGCATGAAGGCTGAGTGAGCTGCAGTCGCTGGATAAAGATGAGAACAGTTCCCATGATCTTATAGCACTAACACATCCACTGCCATCTCTGATCTCCCCAGACCCCGGTGAGGTGGGTGGGGTAGGAACCGTGATTTCTGTTTTACAGAGACGGACACAGAGGCCCACCTAAGTGACTTTACACAGTGACACAGCGGGACGGGAACCTGGAACTCCCCAGTTCTGTCCAGCACAGGGGGGTGGCCATATCAGTGTGCACGGCTGGACCTTTGACCCTTGTGTCTTCCGCAGGCCACTCTGTTTGATCCTCAGCTTCACGATGGCTCCTGCATCTGCGAGCGGGTGGCCTCCATTGTAGATGGTGAGCAGAAAGCGGGGAGGATGGACCAGGGCCGGCGGCCTGGGAGAGCAGAGCCGCGGGGGAGCCAAACGGGGGGAGACAAGGCCGAGGTGGTGGTGTGTGGACAAGCGAGGGCGGGGGCTTTTTGGATCCTGGGCTGAGAGAGAAAACCAGGCAGAGCGGGCCCCCAGAGGCTGGGCCTGAGCAAAGGGAAACTGCCTGGACCTGGGCCGGGCCGGGCCGGTGCCACCCAGCGCCCCCTGCTGCCCACAGTGTCCATGGACAGCG